CAACTGATTGAAAGAGATCCATATTGGTTCCTATTCCAAAGAAGGTGATCCAACAGAATGAGAAAACTATCAAGCAATATCATTAATGTCACATGCAAGTAAAATTTTCCTAAAAATAATTCCAAAAAAAAGTTACAGCAGTACAGACACAGGGAGCTGCAAGAACTTCAAGCTGGATTCAGAAGAGGATGCGGAATGAAGGATATCATTGGTGATGTAAGATGTATCTTTGCTGAAAGCAAAGAATAGCAAAAAGATGTTTACCTGTGTTTTACTGGAATATGTAAAGGCATTCAACTATGCAGATTATAACAAATTATGGGTAAGGTTGCACATAACAGGAATTACAAAACACTTCATTGTGCTTGTGAGGAACATGTTCATATACCAAGAGACCGTTGTTAGAACAGAACCAAGGGATATTGCGTGGTTTCAAATCAGGAATAGTGTGCATCAGGGTTGTATCCTTTCACTGTACTTATTCGATCTGTATGCTGAGCAAATAATCAGAGAAGCTGGACTATACAAAGAAGAACGCAACATCAGTATTAATGGATGACTCATTAACAACATGTAATACGCAGATGACACAACCTTGCTAGCTGAAAGTGAAGAAGACGTGAAGCACTCACTGATGAAGATCAAAGATTACAGGTGTATGCATTACACCTTAACATAAAGAAAACAAAAATCGTCACAACTGAACCAATAGGTATCATCATGATAGACAGAAAAAAGACTGAAGTTTCAAAGATTTCATTTTAATTGGATCCACAAAGCCTAAGTAAGGAAGCAGCAGTCAAGAAATCAAATGACATACTGCACTGGGAAAATGTGTGGCAAAAGACCTCTTTAAAGTGTTAAAGACCAAAATATGTCACTTTGAAGACTAAGGTGTGTCTGACCCAAATCTCAAATACATGTGAAATTTGGACAACGAATTAGAAAGATCACAGAAGAACCGATGCATTTGAAGTATGGTGCTGGGAAATATTGAATATACAATGGACTGCCAGAAGAACAAACAAATCTGTCTTGGAAGAAGTATAGCTGGAATACTCCTTAAAAGAGAGAATGGACAGACTTCATCTCTTATACTTTGGTCACGTGATCAGGAAGGACCTGAAGAAGGGTATCATGCTTGGTAAAGTAGAGGGTCAGGAAAAAAGGGGAAGACCCTCAAGGAGATAGACAGACACAGTGATTGCAACAATGGCACAAGCAAGCATTGTGATGATGGCACAGGACAAGACAGTGTTTCATTCTGGGCTACACAGATAGGGTCGCTACATGTCAGAAGCAACTCAATGGCAACTAAAAATAACAGTTTCTCTAAAGATAATGCATAGAGTGATTGTAAAGTTAATGTATATCTATAGCAGAACAAGGAGCTCTAATGGCACAGTGGGTAAGGCATTTGGCTGCTAATCAGAAGGTTGGCAGTTCAAACCCACCACCTGCTCCTCAGGAAGAAGATGATGTAATCTACTCCTGAAAAGATTTTACAGCACGTGAATCCCAGTGGGGGTCACTATGAGTCAGAATCAACTAGATGGCAGTGGGTTTTATTTTCCTTATAGCAGATAAAACCAAGGCTGCTATGACGCCTTCAATTGGTTTCCTGGGCAACGTATACACCAAGAATGATGGACTTGGAGGCTCAGGCTTAGGACTCCACCAGCAGGCCACAGGTTGCACCACTCTGACTTCAACATCATATTAGCTACAAAGAAAGAAAAGGCAAATGCCCAGACTATATAATCTTATGTAAGACAGACAACATCCAGAAGATCCTGGGTCACCCACAGGAGAAGCACAAGGATCCTGGCACAAAGTGTACTTCCCAAATGACACCAATCCATTGGCTCCATATTCTATTTTAGTCTTTAGCAAATGATCTATGAGGTCAGAGAGAACAATAGTATCACCTTGGTGACCCTGTACGCTGCCCCTAGGCTGGTGGCAATCTGTAAATAGTATAACTGCCGTAGGGCAGCTTATTAACACATACCCCTCATACGTGAAAATTCTGAACTATGTTGCCTATTCTGTTCAACAGACCTTAGCAGTGCCACACTGTGGATTTTTGTGGTCTCCTTGGTAATATGGAAAGCTGCCACTCTGAGGTTGGATACAAACTGGGAACTTTGTCAGCAAATGAGAGCCTAGATATCCCTCTGGCCTCCTCAGCCTGCTAAAGCCAGTGGTGGTAAGTTTGACTATGGACTATCAAGAAGACAAGGATATACTATAAGTCCAGGTACCTGGACCAGGTACTCTTGGCTAGTGAGGGTGTGATTGTCTGATACATAAAGAGAAAAGATCCTGCCTCTCTGACAACAATTCCTGTCCCATACAGAAAGGGACAACTTGAGATTATTTTTGTGGCTGAAAATACAGGTGGCCAGGACAAGAAGGAATACTGCTTTAGTCTCCAATCTGCACATGAATCTTAACCTGCCTGAGAGAAAGTAGCACGTCCAAAGTATTAGGTTTTTTCTTATTTTAAACTGCTAAACTTCAGGAAACTTTGTGAAGCAGCAATACATAACTAATACAGCTGGCATTTCAGCTAACTCTCAAAGTTATCCAGGACTGTTGTCATGACATCAGAGGCTTACACTGAGAGCCTAGGAACATCTTGATATCTGCCCTCCAATAAAGTATCTATGACTTCACAATGACCCCATCATATGCAGTAGCTGCAGTATTTATACTTAAAAACCTTTTATGGTCTTACTATAATGAAATGTGCAAAGACCTGGAGTTAGAAAACCAAAAGGGAAGAACACGCTTGGTATTTCTCAAGCTGAAAGAACTGAGGAAAAAATTAAGCTTTCAGTTGCAATAATGAAAGATTCTATGGGCAATATATTCAATGATGCAGGAAGCATCAAAAGAAGATGGAAGGAATACACAGAGTCACTGTACCAAAAAGAACTGGTCAATCTTCATCTACTTCAGGAGGTGCCATATGATCAAGAACCAATGGTACTGAAGGAAGAAGTCGAAGCTGCATTGAAGGCATTGGCGAAGAACAAGGCTCTAGGAATTGACGAATACCCATTGAGATGTTTCAACAAACGGATGCCCCACTGGAGGCACTCACTTGGTTATGCCAAGAGATTTGGAAGACAGCTCCTTGGCCAACTGACTGGAAGAGATCCATATTTGTATTCATTCCAAAGAAAGGTGGTCCCACAGAATGTGGAAATTACCAAATAACATCATTAATATTGCACACAAGTAAAATCTTAAAATGGTTGTAGCATTATATTGACAGAGAACTTTCAGAGGTGTAGGCTGGATTCAGAAAAGGACACGGAACAAGGGATATCATTGCTGATGTCAGACAGATCTTAGCTGCAGGCAAAGAATACCAGAAAGATGTTTATTTCTGTTTTATTGACTATGCAAAAGCATTTGATTTTGTGGGTCATGGTAAATTATGGATAACTGAGAAGAATGGTAATTCCACAACACTTAATTGTGCTCATGAGGAACTTGTACATAGACCAGTAGGCTGTCATTAGAACAGAACAAGGGGACACTGCATGGTTTAAAATCAAGAAGGGAGTGCATCAGGGTTATATCCTTTCACTATACTTATTCAGTCTATATGCTGAGCAAATAATCCGAGAAGCTGGACTATATGAAGAAGAACGTGGTGTCAGGATTGGAGGAAGAATCATTAACCTAACAACACAACTTTGCTCACTGAAACTGAGGACGACTTGAAGCACTTACTGATGAAGACTGAAGAATACAGTCTGCAGTATGGATTATATCTCAATATAAAGAAAACAAAAATCATCACAACTGGACCTATAAACAGCATCATGATAAATGGAGAAAAGATTAAAGTTGTCAAAGACTTCACATTGCTTGTTTCTACAATCAACACCAATAGAAGCAGAAGCCAGGACATCAGATGATGTATAGCACTGGGAAAGCCAAATGCAAAGAACCTCTCTCAAGTGCTGAGGAGCAAAGATGTCTACTTGAGGACTAAAGCGCAACTGACACAATCCATGATATTTTCAATCGCCTCATACGCATGTGAGAGCTGGACAATGAACAAGGAAGATTGAAGAAGAATTGATGCTTTTGAGTTATGGTGGGGGTGAACAATGCTAAAAGTACCATGGATTGCTAGAAGAACTAATAAATCTGTCCTGGAGGAAGTGCAGCCAAAAGTTCCTTGGAAGCAAGAATGGCCAGACTTCGTCTCATCTACTTGGGTCATGTTGTCAGAAGGGACCATTCCCTGGAGAAGGATGCCATGCTTAGTAAGGTGAAAAGTTGATGAAAGAGGAGAAGGCCATCAAAGAGATGGACTGACACAGTAGTTGTGGCGATGGCCTAAAGTATAGCAAGGATTGTGGAGCTGGCGCAGGACAGGGCGGTGTTTTGTTCTGCAGTGCATATGGTCACTATGAGTCAAAGACAACTCAACAGAATCTAACAACAAGTTTCCTATGCTGATGTACCACAAATACTGTAAATAAGTGGCTTTACAGAACAGAAATTTATTTCCTTACAGTACTGGAGGGTAAAAGTCCAAATCAGAGTCTAAGCCATATGGATTTCTTCTATGAGCTTCTCTACTAGTTCTCCTATCTACCAGCAATTCTTGGTGTTCATTTGCTTATAAGGTCTCATAAATCTTCACACGTCATCTGTCTCTGTATTTGTCTTACATCTAATTTGCCCTTACTGAATTTAGCACCCACACTACTCAGGTATGAACCAATTAATATAATAGAAAATCCTATTTCCAAGCAAGATTACACCTAGAAGTACAAGGAGCTATAATTCAACGCATATTTTGGGGGGATACAATTTAATTCAAAATAGTATCACATTCTATGAATGTGCTACAAGGGAGAGCTGGCTCATGGACTCTTCCTCAGATACACCACTGATAGAGGCTGGGATAGGGAATTACTTATTTCATAGCAGAAGAATCACTGTTATCATAACATACACCTTTAATTTACCTGAATTTCCAGAATCTGAAATTCAAGCTGAAAAGTAACCGTGAGACAATTTCCTGATAATCTGTGGTTTTGTAGAATTTTCTTTGTATCTGTAAATCAGAAAACAAAACATTTGGTTGTAAATAAAATTTTCTGAAAATACCTATTTTTTGTGAATATTTATAATATATATGAGAATTTATTTGCACCAAAAAAGTCTGGAAATGTGTAACAAATTGATTACTTTTGCAAACTATATTGTCTAGTTTTCAATTATACCAAGATAAGAAACAGAAATATACCAGTATAATTGTAGACAAGTTTTAATCACGTTAACTCTTAGAAGTTTTTAATTTTTTCAATATGACACAGTACTAGTTAAAGCTAAGAGATTGATTTCACATATTTACAAAACTCTCTCTCAAAACCCCACTAGAATGATAATGAAAGTATTTTTTTAATAAAACATACATGAACATACATGCACTTAAGTCATAATATGTCCTAGTCTTAAATATAAAAAAATCTAACCCACTGCCGTCAAATTGATTCCAACTTGTAGGGACCCTATAGAACAAAGTACAACTGCCCCATGAGATTTCTAAGGATGTAAATCTTTAAGGAAGCAGATTACCTCATCTTTGTCCTGTGGGTGGCTGGTGGGTTCAAACTACCAATCTTACAGTTATCAGGTGAATGCTTTAAAGACTGTGTCACTAGAGTTCCTGATTTTACATGTACAGCTCAATAATAATTTTTACATATATGTACCCAACCAAACAAGGCAGTCTGGTGGTATAGTGCCTAAGGCATTCGACTGCTAACCAGAAAGCTGCTAACCCACCAGCCATTCCAAGGAAAGAAGACTGGGCAATCTACTTCTGTAAAGATTTACCACCTAGGAAACTGTGTTAGACTCGGTTCTCTACAGAAATAAAACCAGTAAAGCTTATATATAGAGAGAAAGAGAAATTTATCTTAGGAAAATGGCTCACAGACTTATAGAAGCTGGCAAGTCCAAAGTTCTTGGATCAAACGTCAAGCTGGAGGCTCTTCCTGACTCAGGCAGCTGCAATGGGTGAGGAGCTCAAGGTTGGCTGGGAGTATACTGGCTGTTGATTCCAACAAATAATGACTCCAAGATCTCCAGGCCAAATGGTGGATTGTTCACTCACAGACAGTTGTAGGCAGCACAACAGAATCCCAGTCCACAGAAGAGTGTCTCCTTTCCCAGGATGTCCATAAATATACTGGAAGGAGGCCATACCCCTAAGGAAACTTCCTTTCAACAGATTGGCTGCTCAAAACATATTCATCTGAACCCATCATTGGAATAACCACATCACAGCTGCTTAAACCATACAGAATTGTGGTCCACCCAAGTTGACACAGAGCTGCAACTATCACAGTCCACCCCTTGACAACCTGGTGGTTGTGCACATCTTCTTAACAATATATAATCTCTAAATAAGGACAATTATACTCATATTTGTGCCAAAATGATATATTAACACACGTACAATCCAAACGCATTAAATTTATTCACATTTCACAATTCATAACAGAAGGAAACAAAAGTATTTGATGCACATATACAATGAAGAAATATAACAATCACAGTCCTCGTTTCTGCAACTGGTCATGTGGTTGCAGTTGATATTTAGAACTACCTTCTTATACCACCCATTCTGTATTTCCCTTACCCTCAGCAAGCATCTCAGCTGGCTGTGGTTCTTTGACTGGTGGTGTGACCCAAACCTTCATTCCTGAAGGGTCTGGGCCATTAACAGTCATATCATAATTGGGCTGCTGTAATTTTCCATTGACTTTAATCACAGGCGATGGTAGTACTAAGAGATGTCCTAAAGAGTCTCCTGTATCCAGACATATTCTTCACCTCCACTATGTAATGTCAATCCAATTCTCCCTTGGTAATCAGGATTCATCACACCAGATAGTACACTAATGCCCTTCTTTGTCTGTTGATCCAGAGGCATGAGGAAGACAAATGACTGGGTGGCATTCTTAATTTCCAGTTCAATGCAATCAGTATTGTGTCTTCCAGGTGGGAGTGTTCCTCCCTTTGGGACTAACATGTCCACACCCCCAGAGCATAGGGTAGCAGGGACAGGAAGCAAAACTTTTTTGAGTGAGTCACTAGGGGTAATAGTGAGTGGTACCACTCCTGTTTCCACCCCTTGGTTCCTGGACCCGTGAATCCTGGAGAAATAGCACTGTATATTGGACACTGTTTGAGCATATACAGCCTCCTGAAGAACACTGCCCCAACCCGTCAAGGTACTGCCACCTAGCTGGCACTGTAATTGTGTTTTCAGTAGGCCATTCCATCATTCTATCAACTGAGCTGCTTCAGGATGACGGGGAACATGGTAAGATCAGTGATTGCATGAGCATAGGCCCACTGTCACACTTCATTTGCTGTGAAGAGAGTCCCCTCATCTGAACCAATGCTGTGAGGAATACCATGATGGTAGATAAAGCATTCTGTAAGTCCACAGATGGTAGTTTTTGCAGAAGCACTGTATGCAGGGTAGGCGAATCGATATCCAGAGTAACTATCTACTCCAGTGTGGTGTAGTAAATTACTTAGTGTGGGTTTTCTAGCCATAAGTCTTTATAAACTGTGTGGTGGAATTTGCTGTGAGCAACTGAGGAGCTCCTGATTGTAAAAGTTATCCACCTGGGGTATTTATGTTGGGCATAACACAAAGCAATGTTCTGGGAGGTTCCTGCTCTCTCTCAGGTGCTTAGAATTCTGATGTTATGATTGGCTAGTTTGGCCACTCTGCCAGGCTCAAAAGGAGGCCTCCTAGAGACAGAAGAAGTCTCTCTCTGACTGCTGGTTGAAGAAGACATGCTGCTGAAAGAGACATGCGCTCCTGAAAGAGACACATGCTGCTGGGAAAGAGACGCAAGAGACACACATTGCTGAGTGAGACACCGAGGGACAGTCACTGTTGGGATAGAGACTGTGAGAGACTGTTAGGAGAGAGATTGTGGGCTGGAAGAGAGACTGAGAGTTTTCCCTGAACTTGAATTGTAGCCTGGTGCTTCCCTAATAAACCCCTTAATCTGTGAGTTCTGTGTGGCCACTGCATCCAGTAAGAAGAAAATGCTGTCCTTTCCATGATGGAAGTGGTCCAATGTAATCAACCTGCCACCAGGTTGCTGGCTGATCACCCCGAGGAATCATTCCATATCGTGGACTCAGTGTTGGTCTCTGCTGCTGGCAGATTGGGCACTCAGCAGTGGCGGTAGCCAAATAAGCCTTAGTAAGTGGGAGTCCGTGTTGTTGAGCCCCTACCTAACATCCCTCCCCGCCCCCATGGTCAATTCGTTCATGAGCCCACTGAGCAATGACAGGAGTAGCTGGGGAAAAAAAATGGCTGGTTTCTGCTGAACATGTAATCCTATCCACCTGAATGTTAAAGTCCTCCTCTGCCGAGGTCACCTTTTGGTGGGAATTCACATGAGACACAATTATCTTTACTCCTCTGGTCTATTCAGAGAGGTCTATCCACATACGTCTTCCCCACACATCTTTGTCACCCATCTTCCAATCATGCTCCTTCCAAGTCGAGACCATCCAGCTAACCCATTAGCCACAGCCCATGAAACCATATGTAATCGCACATCTGGCCATTACTTATTTCATGCAAAGTGAACAGTCATATGCACGGATCGAAGTACTGCCCATTAGGAGGATTTCCCTTCACCACTGTCCTTCAAGGATGTCCTTCAAGGGGCTGTAGTGCTGCTGCTTTCCACTTTAGAGTGGTGCCTGCATAGCATGCAAAACCATTGGCATCGATTGTACAACCAAGCAACATGAATTCTTTGACAACCTCAATCTTTTTCTCCATTTATCGTGATGCTGCTTATTGACCCATTTATGAGGATTTTTGTCTTCTTTGTGTTGGGATGTAATCCATACTACAGACTGTGTTCCTCAGTCTCCATCAGTTAAGTGCCTCAAGTCATCCTCACTTTCAGTAAGCAAAGTTGTATCATCTGCATACAACTTTGGTTGTTAATGATTCTTCTTCCAATCCTGATGCCACATTTTTCTTCATACAGTCCAGCTTCTCAGATTATTTGCTCAGCATATAGATTAAATAAGTATGGGGAAAGATACAACCCTGACACACTCCCTTCCTGATTTTAAACCATGCAGTGTCCCCTTGTTACTTTCGAACGACAGCCTCCTGGTCAAGGTACAGGTTCCTCATGAGTACAATCAAGTGTTCAGGAATTCCCATTCTTCTCAGTGTTATCCACAATAGCCAACAACAACTGACCATTACACACATGATGATATAACCCAGAAACCAACCCATCTATGCAACTATACAAAATAAATAAGCCTACAAGATTGTAAACAGGGAACCAGAGACATCCATTGACAAATGAGGACAACTACAAACCAAAAAGAGGGAAAAAACTATGTCACTACAGAACTTCTAGATGGTAGGGATGTCAAGACAACTACAAGATAGAATGGACTGTTCTAAACTTGGGAAGAAAACTATAAATCACAGGGTAAGCTCAAAGAAAAATGATAAACCTTCACATCAAAATAAAAAAGAGGACCAGCACAAATACTAAAACAATAGCAAGAAAGAAAGTGATAACACAATTCATAAACAAAATGAGCTTAGCATAGAAAATTATATGGAACAAAGAAACAGACACCACAAAAAAGCACATAACAAAAATGACAGCAACAAATTCATATTTGCCAATAATTACGTATCTGACAAGGGATTTATCTTTAAGATTTATAGAAAACTCCAACTCCTCAACCAAAGGAATTAACAATCCAATTGAAAAACAGGCAGAAGACATGAATAGACACTTCACCAAGAAGGATATTCAGGTGGCCAGCTAATACGAGATGCTCACAATCATTGGCCATCAGAGAGATGCAAATCAAAACGAGATACTGTCTCACCCCAGCACTGATGGCAAGGTTCAACAAGACAGAAAATAACAAATCCTGGCAGGGATGTGGACAGTGCTGGTGGGACTGTGAAGTGATACAACCACTGTGGAAAGCAATATGGCGATTCCTTAGAAAGCTGGAATTGGAGATACCATTTGACCCAGCAATCCCATTACTAGGTATATATCCTAGAGAGGTGAGAGCCAGAACAGGAACAGATATATGCACACTCATGTTCATCACAACACTATTTACAACAGCAAAAAGATGGAAACAACCTATGTGCCCATTAGCAAAGAGTGGATGACCAAACGATGGTATATACACATAATGGAATGCTATGCAGCACTAAAGAATAATGTAGAGTCTGCAAAACACCACATAATATGATGAACTTAGAGGACATTATGCTGAGTGAAATAAGTAATCACAGAAGAACAAATGTAGTATTAGTCCGTTGTTGTGGAGGGTCAAGGAAAGGTTTATATGAAGGGGAAACTTTGTTGGTTGCCAGGGTTGGGAGGGGAGGGGAAGGAACAATGCAAAAAAGAAAAAAATGCATTGACCCATGTCACTTTAGTTTTGTGTATTTCACTGTACATAAACTATATTTCAATAAAATGCACTAAAAAAAATAATAATAATCCACTGTGCATCACTACCCCTAATCAATCCAATTGGAAATGTGCTCTTAAGGAGCTGTACCAGTTGACAGTAGACTCAGTGGACAGTGGTACAACCAGGAAGTTGTACTTGCCAAGAGAAGGGGCAGAGCCTGGCCCAGAGAAGTGGCAGCCAGGAGAAGACGGAATATTTTGGCTCTTAAAGCTACACTAGCAGAGGGCATTTCTGCCTCAAGAGCTTTAACAGCAGTGCTGTTCTGACCAAAGTTGTCTTTATTGCAGAAAAGAGACATATGTACTGCACCTTAGGGACCTTTACAGACTTTGCCCAGGCACCTTTTCTTAATGCTGCCTTTTACTTCTACTTGTATCCTATCTAATTATATCCTGTTACTAGCCTAATAAACTACATAACCTAACCCTGAGTATAGCTTACGAGCTCTGTGAAACATTACATCAAATTATCAAACCCAGGAGAGAGAAAAACAGTGCCATGGTAGGAGCAACTGCAATTAGAAATAATGGTGAAAATGGAAAGCAGGGATATATATGACCTCTGCCTCACAGGAACCAGAAGCTCTGGTGGTAGTGTGAGTAAAAGCATTTGGCTGCTAAGCAGATCAACAGTTTGAAACCACCAGCTGCTATGCAGGAGGAAGATGAGGCAATCTACTTCTGTAAAGATTTACAGCCTTGAAAACCCAGTGGGGGTAACTATGAGTCGGAATTAACACAATGGCAGTGGATTTGGTTTTGGTTTTTCATAGGAACCAGCTTTACACTGATTCTGATTCACAAAATTATCCTTTCAGCCCCCTTAAATAAGCTGTTCAATACCTTCTAAGGGTTAATCATTAGGTTTATTTCAGTGGAAAAGTCATGAACCCCTTCTAAAACTCATTCCCGCTTTAGAGAATGTGACCCTTGTCAAAAGTTTCTGACACCCAGTTGCACAGGAGAATTAGTTTCCCCTAATCTGTTAGTGCATCATAAAACCTTGGCCAGAAATCTGCCTTCTGGCAAAAACATAGATGGTTAAACACTGATTTTAGCCAGAGGCCAAGATATTTTGGCATAGAACATTGTAGATGACCAGAGAGGCAGCTTTTATGTTAATGATAAACTTGCAAGATTTATAAATTGGTGGTGCTGTCCTTACAATCACTTACTTCTATTATTTGACTATTAAGTTACTTGATAATAGGGACTGTCTCTCTCTTTAAATATCTGCCTCACACAGCTTTTAAGACTATTATGCATACTATCATGTCCAAAAGACACTCGGCTAAACAGGTTTACACAACCATACTTTCAAATAATTACCTTACAGAATTTTAATTCAACATTATGACTACCTATTCACAATAATGCAAGCTTCAGTAATATTTATAGGTTAAAATTAATGCTTACTTTTTTCTGTTATCTTAGTGCTTGTTAGGTCCTCTGTTTTCTTACAGTACTTTCGTATGCTGATGCCAAACATGGTATTTAGAAGTGAAAGTTCTGATTCTAAATGTCCAAGCTGTCTTCTCAGATCTTTTGAAGATTCCCATCCTTCAGACTCTGATTGGTGTGTTTCCTTAAATGATTTTCTAAAAAGTGAATATCAGAAATAATTATTCAAATGAGGAAACCACTAAGAAGTGTTTTATATAATATACCCAATTTCCTTTTTTTTTTTTTCCTAATTACCCACAGTGTTAACATCTCACTTCCCACTTCTTCCCTGTGGTTACTCTTTCCCTATATCCTTCTTATCTATGCATTCCTGCCTCCCTCCCTTTCTCCCTGGGCAAATGCTGCTCTTTTGATCTCCCAGGGTTGATTGTTGTAATGAGTGCATCTCCCACATGCACTTGTTCAGCTAGTAGGCCTGTCTATTGTTTGACTGAAAGGTAAGCCACAGGAGATTAATTCCAGGCATGAAGGATGACTTGGAGCCATAGTCTCAGGGGTTTCACCAGGCTCTTATCAGACCAATAAGCCTCATCTTTTTTATGTTTTTGAGTTTTATTCCACATTTTTCTCCCATTCTATACAGGATCTCCAATTCTGATCTTTTTCTGAGTAGTTAGCATTGGTAGCCAGCCACTATCTAGTTCTTCTGGTCTCTGGGTCATATAGGTTGAGGTTCTCACGGTCCATTAGTCCTCTGGACTGTTTCCATGGTCTTTGATTACCTTTACTCTTCTTTGCTCCATTAAAAAAAAAAAACAGTAATTGCCACTGAGATGGCTACTCATAAGCTTTTAAGACCCCAGTCACTACTCAATGAAGTAAGATGTAGAACAATATTTTTGTATATCATGTTGTGCCAATTAAGCTGTGACTATAGTCCCCAGCCTGAAAGCCCAGTGACTTACTCCCTCAAGGTGCTTATTTCTGGCTGAGAAGTTATCCTAACTTTGCCTCATGTTATGGTTAAACTGTATATGGACATTTTAAAGCACATACAAACACATATGTAGGAATACTGTCTGACAAACCTATGTAAGGTTATGAGTATATTACCATTTGTCTATCCATACCTGTCTCTCTATGCATCCACCCATAGATTGCTGTTACTGATAATGCAGTATTGTGCCTGCCATGAAATTTGCCTCATTGTCTGTACCTCTTGAGCACCTCTCTATGTCTTCCTTTTCTACAGTAATATCATGCTTAGTGATAAACCATTCTCATTTTCTCCCCCTTATTCTCTTCCCATTGAAACTTCATAATAATTTTCTCAAAAACCAAATGGCTACTAAAACAATAAACTTTAATGTCAACATAATATAAATGCAGTCAAATGATAATAAAAGATTTCTACATATCAGAAACACCTTTAAAATAAATCATCATCAGAGTACTTGGCAAAATTAAAAAGTCACTTCTAGTCCAGGAATTTCCAACCTAAATATCTGACATCCCAAGATATCTCAAATTTTTTAAAAGATGTTTTGAAATTAAAAATTAAACCCAAATAGCTAACTTTAATTTCTAAAATGAACAATTATAAAGCATGTTATAATGAGTTTTGTAAGGAAATCTAAAAATACAGGGGTAAAAATTACACAGGAATAAGAAGTAGTATGATCTCTTTAAGAAATTCTATAGTCATATATTCTTCACTGATAACATATATTTCTATTTTGCTTTTTAAAAAGAACAAAATTAATAATCACATTGGATGGTGTTTTACTTTTTGTCACCCTTTATTTCCCCCTTAAATGCTATGCTACATTGTATAATGTTGACTTCTACTGCCATCTTAAAACATTCCTTTTTTGGATTCTGAAGCATAAGTCTTTTCTTTAAATCTTGGATCCTCCACAGTCTCTGCTTCTTGCCTCCAATCTTAGACAAAAAGTAACACTCCGCCCTCTGCTATCCTAAGTATGCATTTTCTCATTCCAGAGGAATGCACAAGGCTATACCTCAATGCTAGTAACTCCTAAAATATACCTCTAACCATGTATTTCTTCTCACAAGATTACTGTTGTTGTTAGCTGTGGTAGTTAAGTTGTGTGTGAACTTAACCAGGCCTGGTTTTGAGTGGCTGGGCAGCTGGATCTAATTATTCCCCATGATGAGACTGGTAATCAACTCTACGGTGGAATCTACTATAAGCAGCTGAGTAGCTGTCTTAGGGATATGGTCTGCTTCCAGTATATAAGAAGAGAGCTTTGAGAAAAGTCTCTGAGCTTTTTGGCATGCTTAGACCCTGCATGTAGCTGGGTCTTCATTTAGAAGCCTGCTGTTTTGCCTGCTAATCTTGGGATTGTACCATTTTATCTGTCAACCTTGGGTTTGTCAGCCTCAGCAGCCAGCAGCTATCTGAGTAAAAAGAAGCCTCCAGCTTCCATGGGCCAGGAGGAAGAGGCAGAGCTGAAGCCCACGATCAAGGGGCTTTCAACCAGCCCTTACAGCTGGCACTTTAAACCTGGACTTCTAGCCTCTGAAAGTGTAAGAGAATAAATCCCTGTTTGTTGAAGCCACCCATTTGTGGTACATCTGTTAGAGTGGCACTAGGTAACCAAAACATTAGCTGACATCAAGGTCGCCCCAAACAATAGTGACCCCATGCACAACAGAATGAAATGCTGCCCAGTTCCACACCATCCCTATGATCGGTTGCATATTAGACAGCTATGATCCATAGGGTTTTCATTGGCTGATTATAGGCCTCTCTTCCTATTCTTAGTCTAGAAGCTCAGCTGGAATCTGTTCAGCATCATAGCAATATGAAAACTACCATTGACAGACAAGTGGTAGCTGCACAATGTGCCTTGGCTGGGAATCAAACCCAGGTCTCCCACATGGAAGGCAAGAATTCCACCACTCAATAACCAATGTCTAAAACCTATTGCTATCAAATCAATTCTGACTCATAGTGCACCTATAGGATGGCAAATAATTGGCCCATAGGGTTCTCAGGGCTGTGATGTTTACAGAAGCAGACTTACCGTATCTTTCTCCTGTGGAGCAGTTGGTGGATTTGAACCACCAACATTCTGGCTAGAAGCTGAGCACTTAACCACTACACCAGCAGGTCTGCTTACCAATGCCTGTTGTTGTTAGATGCCATGAACTCATAGTGACCCTATGTACAACAGAAACACGGCCCAGTCATGCACCAGCCTCATAATCCTTGCTATACCTGAGCCCATCATTGCAGCCACTGTACCAATCCATCTCACTGAGGGCCTTTTTCACTGACCCTCCATTTTACCAAGTATGATATCCTTCTTCAGGGAATGGTCCCTCCTGACAACATGACCAAAGTAGGTGAGATGAAGTCTGGCCGTTCTGGCCTCCAAGGAACATTCTGGCTACACTTCTTCCAGGACAGATTTGTTAGTTCTTCTGGCAGTCCATGGTACTTTCAGTATTCTTCACCAACACTCCAATGTCTATATCCTACCAAATATGCTTCTCCAAAAAAATCAGCTCTTCCTTCAAATTTCTGCATTTTTTTAAATGTTAAATCCTTCCCTTGATCTCTCAAGCTCCATATATGGGAGTTATCTTTGGCTCTTTTACTCTCCTCACATCTGAACAAATTGTCATCCTTTCTACTCCCTCTTACCACTATCCCATCTCTTCTATTCTTAATTCCACTACATATTCTATTCTTTTAAGACCTTAAATCTCGAATATAGAGAATAAACTCAGTATTCTTTGCATCTCAGTATTCTTCGCATTGCAAATCTAAAGATTACTTTAAAAATTTTGTTGAACTAATCATTTAAAATATTAACATAAGTATATTGTTTCATCTGAGAGACCACCACACTTTCTTTTGCATTTGCCATTGCAAAAAGGGTGTAGTGCTTCTTCTTCTGACCTCTAAGTTCATGAGGGGGAAGAAAGATCCAGAACAAACATCAACAGGCCAAGGCTGATTCCAATGAGGCAGAGGTCAGACATGCCATCACTCTCCAAACTTTTTACCAATCTTGACACCAACCGTCCTTTCCATGCGACTTTACTTCTCTGCTAGGTTCAATAATTTGATGCAATGGCCACACAGAATTCATAGACAATACTCATGATTATAGGGTTCATTAGGTATGTAGCAGGTTACCATTCAGACTCAGGAACACTCAGGATACAATTCTTCAATCAAAGCTGTGCTCCCAGTATACTTTCTTTTGCCCCTTAACCTCTCTGTCTGGCCTCTTGCCCTATTCAGCCCTACTCAGCCCAGGGAGGCACCCAACTTCACCAGCAAGCCTCCTTGCCAAAGGCACTTAGCTATCTTGCTCCATTGGCCAGGAAGCCCAGCACTCTGTCTCTTGGTTCTGTTGATTCCACTGTCACTGTCCCTCTGCCATTGTCTCAGTGCAGGGATCTCAGATCCAAGGACATGCTCTACTGCTGGCTCTTCCTCTGTCTTGATGCTAGTGAGATCTCCCTTTCCTGCATCTGGAATGGCTCGTTTTAATCCTGGTGGGATGTCAAAACTGACCAATACCCATATTAGGGTTCCATACACCATATTTCCATGGTACTATCTCCACACAGCCACTCCTCGGAAGGAAGATGGGGCAATCTACTTCCGTAGTGATACTGCCTCGGAAACCCAAGGAGGGGTCGCTATGAGTCGGGGCTGACTCGACGGCAAACAACAACAACAACAACAACAACCTCCACAATGCTGCCATGTACCATATTTACATTATTAGCAAGCTATCCAATTACCTTGGTGGGACACAAGCACTTCACATTTGCATAGTCCCATCCAGTCATCTGGTGGGAGTCACAAAGTCCAGAGCTAGAAGAGCAACATTAAGCAATTCACTATATCACAGACATCACCGTTAAATGTCATGAAAAAAAATATATAGAAAGCAAGTGAGAAAAGAACAGAGACAATCTTTATATTTAATTATGAATTACTGCTACAAGAACATCAAATGATATAATAGCATGCTATAGGAGCTCTGGTAGCATAGTGCCTAAGACACTTGACTGCTAACCAGAAGGCTGGCGGTTCAAATCCACCAGCCATTCCTCGGAAGGAAGATGGAGCAATCTACTTCCGAGTGATACTGCCTTGGCAATCCAAGGAGGGGTCACTATGAGTTGGGTCTGACTCAATGGCACATAACAACAACAGGTAAAAACATTTCAAAGTACTTCAACAGAGCAAAGTAATAAGGGAGCTAAGTCATCACATTACAGGTTATCTCTGGTGGTGATAGAGGCCCTGGTGGCACAACAGTAAAACATTCAGCTGCTAAATGAAAAATTGCTTGTTTGAATCCACCCAGCAGCTCCATAGGAGAAAGACCTGGTGATATGCTTCTACAAAGATTACAGACAAGAACCCCTATGGAGAAATTCTACTTTATCACATAGGATCACTGTGAGTCAAAAATTTACTCAATGGCACCTAACAACAACATGCAGAACTCAAAAAAACAGAACCTATATATTCTCATTCCTAGCAGTAATTTAGGAGCTCTGGTAGCACAGTGCCTAAGGCACTTGACTGCTAACCAGAAGGCTAGTGGTTCAAACGCACCAACCACTCCTCGGAAGGAAGATGGGGCAATTTACTTCCGTAGTGATACTGCCTCAGAAACCCAAAGAGGGGTCGCTATGAGTCGGGTCTGACTTGACAGCACATAACAACAACAACAGCAGTAATTTACTTTGAACAAAAGTCTACTTCAATTAAGGATGTTAGTTTTGACTGTTTGGGGCTAGTTTGTATATAATTGGCTTTGGAGTTTCATTATTAATAACAAATTTGTAGTAGATAAAAATATTTTTTCTCAAAAGTTTTTTTCTCACAAGAAATATTCTTACTTTAAAATGAATCTACACATGATTCCACTTTCAAAGTCTGCTAAGAAGAGTTATTACGAGCCAAGCTCTATTCTAAATATACATTAACTCAATTAGAAAAACCAAACCCACTGCCATCAAGTTGATTTTGACTCACAGCAACTCTATAGGACAGAACAGAACTGCCCCATAGGGTTTCCAAGGCTGTAAATCTTTCAGAAGCAGACTGCCTCATTTTCTCCCGTGGATCAGCTGGGGATTCAAACTTCAGACCTTATGGTTAGCAGCAAATACTTTAACCATTATACTACCAGAACTCCTTATTAACTCAATCAGTCCTCATATCTATCAAAAACTTAGGTACTAATTTACCATGGAAGAAACTGAAGCACAGAAAGTAGAGGTCACTTAACCAAGATCACTCAGCTAGTAACAGAATCATTATTTGAAACTAGGGAATTTTGCTAAAGACTGTTAACATGGATAAAGCTGAACACAAGGTCCAATTTCCCTATCCATCCAGCCATTTTAAATCACTTAAAAAATAGTTGGCTACAAAAGTCCTATGTCCAATTCCACTATAAACAAAAAAACCAAACTCACTGTCGTAGAGTTGGATCCGACTCATAGCAACCCCTCCTTGGGTTTCCAAGGTGGTATCACTATGGAAGTAGATTGCCCAATCTTCTTTCCAAGGAGATTTCACTTAAGGTATGAACATTGTTGACTGACATTTAAAGTCTTCCTCAGTTTGGACCCTTCCTACTTTCCCAACTTCATTTTTGAAAACTCTCACATTGCATTCATAATCTACTAATCTATCTTGGACTAATTATGATATCTTATGGTCTGTAAAAAAATCTTTTTTTTCCCCATAGTATGAAATAATGATTCTCAAACTTTAAAGTATGCACAGAAATCATCTGGAGAACTTGTTAAAATGCAGATTCTGATTCAGTAGGTTAAGAGTGAGGCTCAGTGGTGTCACTAGTGTTGATGTTACCCAGTGTGGTAACTCATAGTGTCACCACCACCTCCATGGACCTCCTCCTATACTAGACCATCTAGAATCCTTAGTAATGTTTACTATCAATTTTAATCATAGAACAATATGATAAATACATACAGGCATATGAGTTGAACATTTACCTCAAGTAGATACACTCCTTGGAGAGAACAATCATGGGAGAAAGGTCAGCTTATGCACAGGGAGACTGCTCGGGGGCAGGAGTGTATGGAGGGATGGACACTGGGAAGAGGTAACTATGGGGAGGAAGTAGGAGGGGAGCTGTTGCATTGTGGTAAACTGTGGTCAATGACATGAGACAAAGTATATATGAACTGCTGTATGGAAAGTGAATTTGCTCTGTAAATCTTCACCCAAATCACAATTAAAAAGAAAAATATGATAAATACAGTTGTAAATTGCTTTAAAGTAATTTTTTTAGATTATACTAAAACTAACAATAAAACTATTTTGTACAATCTTCCTACACTGAATTACTACATTGGTTACAAAATTATTAGTAACTAAGTGGAAGCCTTCTTTTATTTTTCTCCTCCTTTTCCTCTAATTACTGCTTCATTCTCCAAAAAGTTATTTATAGAGGCTCAGAATACTACTTACCACAATAATGTAACTAAAACACCACAAAATTTGACAAAACCACAATCATAAAAATATTGGCAGCAACAAAAACAACAGTGTGTGCTAGTAGTGCATGAAGATGAAACCACCAGATTCAAAGCATCATTGTAAATGGACAATAACACCAACTTTGACCAGAGCACATTGTTGTCGTTAGGTGCTGTCAAGTCCTCTCCGACTCATAGCAACCTTATGCACAGCAGAATGAAACACTACTCAGTCCTTGCCAGCTCCTTGATCCTTGCTATACCTAAGCCCATCGTTGCTCTCACTGTGTCAATCCATGCTGTTGAGGGCTTTTTCACTGACTCTCCACTTTACCAAGCATGATATCCTTCTCCAGAGTATGGTCCCTTCTGATAACATGACCAAAGTAGATGAGACTTCATCTGGTCATTCTTGCTTCCAAGGAGCATTCCAGCTCCATTTCTTCCAGGAGAGATTTTTTAGTTCCTTTAGCAGTCATTGGTACTTTCAGTAGTCTTTACCACCACCACAACTCAAAAGCATCGAGGCTTCTTTGGTCTTCCTTACTCATTGTCCAGCTCTCACATGCATATGAGACTGAAAACACCATGGTTTGTGTTAGGCACACGTTAGTCTTCAAGGAGACATCTTTGCTCCTCAGCACTTGAAAGAGGTCTTTTGCAGAAGACTTGACTAATGCTATGCGTCGTCTGATATCTTGACTGCTGCTTCCATTGGTGTTGATTGTAGGATGAAGTACTATGAAGTCTTTGGCAACTTCAATCTTTTCTCCATTCATCGTGATGCTGCTTATTGGTCCAGCTGTGAGGATTTTTGCTTTCTTTATATTGTGGTGTAATCCAAAATGCAGACTGTAGCTTTCACTCTTCATCAGCAAGTGCTTCAAGTCATCCTCACTTTCAGTAAGCAAAGTTGTGTCATCTGCATATCTCAGGTTACTAATGAGCCTTCCTCCAATCCTAATGCCACATTCTTCTTCATATATTCCAGCTTCTCAGGTTATCCGTTCAGCATACAGACTGAATGAGTATGATGAAAGGATACACCCTGATGCACTCCCTTCTTGATTTTTAACAATAAAGTACCCCCTTGATTTATTCAAATGACAGCTTCCTGGTCTATGTACAGGTTCCTCATGAGTACAATTAAGCGTTCTGGAATTCCCATTCTTCTCAATGTTATCCACAATTTGTTATGATCCACACAATCAAATTCTTTTGGATAGTCAATAAAACATAAGCAAACATATTTCCGGTATTCTTTGCTTTCAGCCAAGATCCATCTGACATCAGCTATGATATCCCTCGTTCCACATCCTCTTCTGAATTCAGCTTGCATTTCTGGAAGCCCTCTATCAACATACTGCTGCAAATGTTTTTGAAATATCTTCAGTAAGATTTTACTTACATGTGATATTAATGATATTGTTTGATAATTTCCACGTTTTGTGGGATCACTTTCTTTGGAATGGGTACAGATGGATCTCTTCCAGTCAGTTGGCCAGGTAACTGTCTTTCAAATCTCTTGGCATAACCAAGTGAGTACCTCCAGCACAGCATCTATTTGTTGAAACATCTTGATGGGTATTCTGTCAATTGTTTTTCTCCAATTCCTTCAGTGCAGCTTCGACTTCTTCCTTCAATACCATTGGTTCTTGATCATATGCCACCTCCTGAAACGGATAAGGATTGACCAGTGTATTCCTTCCATCTTCTTTTGATGTTTCCTGCATCATTCAATATAATGCCCATACAATCTTTCAGTATTGCAACTCGAGGCTTGAATTTTTTCTTCAGTTCTTTCAGCTTGAGAAATGCCAAGTGTGTTCTTCTCTTTTGGCTTTCCAACTCTGTGTCTTTGCACATTTCATTATAATAATTGACTTTGTCTTCTCGAGATGCTGTCTGAAATCTTCTCTTTAGGTCTTTTATCTTGTCACTTCTTCCATTTGCCTTAGCTACTCTTTGTGCAAGGGCAAATTTCAGTCTCTTCTGACATCCATTTTGGTCTTTCCTTCCTTCCCTTTTGCTTTCTCCATGGATGATGTTCTTGATGTCATCCCACAATTACTCTGGTTTTCAGTCACTGGCATTCAATCCACCAAATCTATTCTTTAAATGGTCTCTAAGTTCAGGAGGGATATATTCAAGGTCATATTTTGGCTCACATGGACTTTTTAATTGTCTTCAACCTCAACTTGAACTTGCATATGAACAATTGATGGTCTATTCCACAATCAGCTCCTGGCCTTGTTTTGGCTGAAGATATTAAGCTTCTCCATGGCCTCCTGCCACAGATGTAGTCAATCTGATTCCTGTGTACTCCATAAATCCACATGTATACCCATCGTTTGTGTTGTTGGAAAAAGGTATTTGCAATGAATAAGTCATTAGTCTTGCAAAATTCTATCATGTGTTCTTCAGCATTATTTCTATCACCAAGGCCAAATTTTCCAACTAACAGTGATTTTTCTTTGTTTTCAACTTTCGCATCCAATAATTAGTAATTATCAATACATTTTGACTGCACATTTGGTCAATTTAAGACTGCAGAATTTGGAAAAATCTTCAATTTCCTCATCTTTGGCTTTGGTCATTGGTGCACAAATTTGAATAGTAGTATGAACTGGTCTTCCTTATTGGTGTATGGACATTATCCTATCACTGACATCATTGTACTTCAGGACAGATTGTGAAACATTCTTTGTGACGATGAATACCATGCCATTGCTCTTCAATTTATCATTTCCAAGAAAGTAGATCATATGGTTGACTGATTCAAAATGGCCAAAACCAGTCCATTTCAGTTCACTAATGCTTAAGATATCAATCTTTATGCATTTCATCTTTAACAACTTCTAATTTTCCTAGATTTCTTCGTACATTCCATGTTCCAATTATCAATGGATGTTTGCAGCTGTTTCTTCTCATTTTGAGTTGTGCCACACCAGCAAATGGAGGTCCAGAAAGCTCTACTTTATCCACATCGTTAAGGTAGACTCTACTCTGATGAGGAAGCTCTTTCCCAATTGTATTTTGAGTGCCTTCCTACCTGAGGGACTCATCTTCTGGCACTGTATCAGACAATGTTTCAGGGCTATTCATTTCACTGTTATTCATAAGGTTTTCACCGCCCAATTCTTTGAGAAGTGGATGGCCTCGTCCTTCTTCTGAGTCTGTCTCACACTGGAAGCTCTGCTGAAACCCGTCCACCATGGGCAACTCTGCTGGCGTTTGAAACACCAGTGGCACACCCCCCAGCCTCACAGCAATACACAAGCCTCAACAGTACAACAGACAGGCAAGTTCCTATCCCTTAGCCTTCCAATCCAGCTCCCACTTTCTGCCTAGAGGCTCTCCCCGTCACCTGTTCGGGCCATTGCCCCTGGCTCCGGCTGCTTCATTAGAAGGCTCAAAAAGTAAATTAGCATAGAGTTTTAGCCTTGTATTGGTACATGTAAGCCAGGCTTATGAAAAATGTTTTTGTTGTTATAACTAATGGTGGTACAGCAAATTAATACAGCTTTTCTAACCACAGCTTTTGTGACTTCCACCAGATGACTGGGTGGAACTATGCAAATGTAAGGTGCTTGTGGCCTACCAACAGGACTGGACAGCTTATTAATAATGTGAAGAGGGACACAGCAGCCTTGTGCAGTGCGACCACAGAAATACAGTGTATGGAGCCCTAACATGGGGATTGGTCAGTTTTGCCATCAGCTAGGCTAAAAATGGAGCTCTGGTGGTATAGTGCCTAAGGCTTTTGACTGCTAACCAGAAAGTTTGCGGTTCCAACCCAGCAGCCACTCCTCAGAAGGGAAGCCTGGATGATCTATTTCCATAAAGATTTACCACCTCAGAAACCAAAAAGGGTCACTATGAGTCTGAATTGACTCAATGGCAGTAAGTTTGTTTTTTTGAGGGTAAGAAGGAGCTACCTCAGAGTCAGAAAGTATGATCTTACTACCATAAAGAGAGAAGAGTCAGGAGTGAAACATGTTCTTGTACCCAAGATCCCTGAGCTGAGAAAGCATAGACACAGGAGCAGCACAGGCAGCAGTACCACTACAAGACAGAGCATCAGGTTTCCTGGCCCATATAACAAGAAAACTGAGTGCTTTGGGGCAGGCTTACTGGTGGAGTGGGGTGCCTCTCTGGGCACCTCTCCATAAAGCTAAAACAGCTTTGTAACACTGGCCTAAGCAGGGTAGAGGCTGAGACCAGAGAGAAGCATGCCGCAGCACAGCCAAAAAGAAGCTGTTCTGATTGAAGAACTGTATCCAAAGTTGTTTCTGATCCTAAACTGCTTAATCTGTTATTCCCTAAAACAACCCTGTGCTAGTTAAGGTTGTGTGTCAACTTAGCTGGGCCATGGTTTTAAGTAGCTTGGCAGCTGAATATAGTGATTTCTCATGATGAGATTAGATGTAGTGTAATCAACACCATTTAGCTTTGAATAGCAAAATTGTTGCCTTCATGGTGGGCCCTGTTTCCGCTATATATGAAGAAGCTTTGAAAAAGGTTTCAAGCTTTCTGGTACATTCTGGACCCTGCATTTGACTGAGTCTTTATCTCTAGTTCCTGGACTTAAACCAGTGGCCTGTCATGTTGCCTGCTGATCCTGGGACTATTCCTGAACTTGATCCAGTGGCCTGTCATATTGCCTGCTAATCTTGGGACTATGCCATTTTACCTGCCAACACTGGGTTTCTCAGCCTCAGCAGCCAGCAGCTGCATGAGGCAAAAGAAGCCTCCAACTCCAGTGGGCCTGGAACAAGAGGCAGCATTGAAGTCCCAGGTCAAGGTGACTTTACCCAATACCTACAGCCAGCACTCTGAATTCGGACTCATAGTCCCCTAAACTGTAAAAGAATAAATTCCTGTTAGGGAAAGCTATCTATTTGTGATATTTCTATTATAGCAGCACTAAAGAACTAAGACAGAATTTGGTACTAGGGAGTGGGGTTCCGATGTAACAGATACCTAAAATGTGGACGCATGAGTGAAGCACATCCTTGGACCTGGTATCCTTGCACTGAAACCATGGCAGAGAGATCAGCAAAGAGAAGGCAGCAGCAGAACCAAGAGACCAACAAGATACAGTGTGACAGGCTTACCAACCCACAGAGTGAGAAAGCTTAGTGCCGTTGGGCAGGAGGCTTCCTGGCAGAGTGGGTTGCCTTTAGGCACTATTGGTAGAGCTGAAGAGCTTTGTAATATTTGCTGGAACAGGGCAGAGGTGCAGTGGCTTCTTTGAGAGACCAAGAAAACAGGAAGCAGAGCTGCCTCAGCCTCAAAGGGTAGGACCATTGCCTCTGGAGTGTCAAAGGGTGGAACCACCATAGTCTTCTAGATCAGACAGTCAGATTTTCACCAACTTGCTTCGGGAGTATGGGGTAACACACATGCGTGCCAGTGGGATGGGGTCATATTTGCTACCCAAAAGTGAGGGTGAGAGGCTGTCATCCCCAACGGGCAGAAGAACAGGGCCTGCCAGGCCAAGGGGGTGAAGTCACCACTTATACAGACTAGGAGAATAAGACCACCCAATGAAGAAGATATGTACAAGTGGCAAGCTGACAACAGTGGAACATGGCCCTTAAAGCCATATGTCATCTTGGCTGGACCTGTGCTTTTGAGTGGCTTGGCAGCTGGATGAAGTTATTCCCCATGATGAGATTAGATATGGCATAATCAACTCCATGGTAGAATCTTCTGGGAGCAGATAATATTTTGCCTTCATGGTGTGGCCTGTTTTGAACATATATGGAGAAGCTTTGAGAAAAGTCTTGAGCTTTTTGGCACATTTTGGATCCTGCATTTGGCCATCTCTAGTTCCCAGACTTGAACCAGCGGTCTGCCATGTTTCCTGCTGATCTTTGGATTGTGCCATTTTACCTGCCGATCTCGGATTCCTCAGCCTGTGTAGTCAGTAGCTGTATGAGTCAGAAGAAACCTCCTGCTCGAATGAGCCTGAAACAAAAGCAGACCTGAAGCCCAGAGTCAAGGGGCCTTCACACAGCCCCTGGATCTGAATTTGGACTTCTAGGCTGTTAAATTGTAAAAGAATAAATTTGTTTGTTAAAGGCATGCATTTGCAGTATTTCTGTTATAGCAACATTAGAGAACTAAAAAAACCCCATGATTATGAGTACTGTCTGTGAGTTCTGTGCAGCCATTGCAATGAATTATCAAACCAGCAGAGAAGCAGAGTACAGTAGGAGGGACAGCTGGTGTCAGAATAGGCAAAGGGGTTAGAGGGTGGTGGCATGCCTGACCTCTACCTCACAGGAATCAGCCTTGGGCTGTTGCTATTCATCTTGATTCTCTCTCCTCCTTGTGAAGTTAGAGGATGCCAGATGCTACCACATACCTTTTTAGGTAGTAACTACAGGGATGTTTTTACAAAAAGTAATAAATTTCTGCTGAAACATTACACAAAAATTTTAGAAAGTTATTTTGGCATCATCCCCTCTGAAAGTGTCAATCAATGTAGTCTGCCCCCTCCTAGGGACACTATTGATGAGGCAAATAATTCTGCATTCAAACAAACTCTCAGATGATATATTTCAATTTGTGGACCACACTTAGAATAGCAAGGGTATTGAATATATTTACTCTTTTAAAGTACATACTCATATACTGTTCACCTGTTTCACTCTCCTTTGTACTAGTCACAGCTTACTTCCATCATTCCAAATCATTTGCACATGCACATTTCCTTTATACATCATCTTCCTTCCCACTTTCTACCAACTCTTGTCCAATAACCCAGGAAAAACATTTTCTGCACCTATGTCAAAATAAGGAGCTCCAGTAGCACAGTACCTAAGGCATTTGACTACTGACCAGAAGGGTCATGGTTCAAACCCACCAGTTGCTCGACGGAAAGAAGATGGAGCAATCTACTTCCACCAAGATTTGCCAGCTTGGAAATTGAATGGGGGTTGCTACCAGTTGAAATCGACTTGATGGCAGAGGGTTTGTATTTTTGTATGTCAAAATAGTTTCTGGTTTAAGCAGCTTGGGTGTTTGAGATGATTGTTACAGACCTCTCTCTACCTTTGTTTCAATACAGCAAAGTGCCTGGGCTTTGGAATTCCAATCTAGCTCTGCCACTTCCTTTCTCTCAGACTCTAAGCAAACTACCTATTTAATGTCTGTTAGCCTCAATTTGCTTAACTCTAAAAGGAGGTTAACAGCATCACCTACCTCAGAGGATTTTCATAGGAATTAAAAGACACAACACAATGTCTATGTCTTGGGGAGTGTACCCAAGACCCTGTATAGGATTGGTAGACAATGGTTCTACAAGTGTATTTGAATACTGTATAAGAATTCGCAGGTGTGGATCTTAAAAGCTAGCAAGGTGCCATCTAGACGCAACATTGAGTCTCTCCTTGTCCAGAGCAAAGAAGAATGAAGAAAACCAAAATTCATGGAAACAATTAGTCCTAGCGACTGGCACATAATCTGATCTGCAGCCGCCTATACAACTCTAAGACCAGAAGAACTAGATGGTGCCCGGCTACCACTGTCATCCACTTGGAAGGGGATCTATGTAGCAGATCCTTGATAGAGAGGGAGAACAATGTGGAACAAAACTCAAAATCATTTGGAGAAAAAAAAAAAGTGGGTACCAGGTTTGCTGGTCCGATAGAGCCTGGTGGAACCACTGAGACTATGGCCCCTAGCTGCCCTTCAGGTCTGGAATTGAATCCATACCTGTGCTTTCCAGCCAAACAAAATACAGGCATATGAGTTGAACATTTACCTCAAGTAGACACACGCCCTGGAGAGAACAATCATGGGAGAAGGAAGGGCTGCTTATGCACAGGGAGACAGCTCAGGGGGCAGGAATGTATGGAGGGATGAACACTGGGAAGAGGTAACTATGGGGAGGAAGTGGGAGGGGAGCTGTTGCATTGTGGTAAGCTGTGGTCAATGACATGAGACAAAGTATATATGAACTGCTGTATGGAAAGTGAATTTGCTCTGTAAATCTTCACCCAAATCACAATTAAAAAAAAAAAAAAAAAAAAAGATCTCTTTAAAGTGTGAAAAAGCAAAGAGGTCATGTTGAAGACTAAGGTGTACCTACCCAAGCCATGGTATTTTCAATCACCTCATGTGCATGTGAAACCTGGGCGATGAATAAGGAAGATCAAAGAACTGAATTTAGGTGTTGTTGAACAATATTAAATATAGCATAGACTGCTAGAAAAATGAACAAATCTATCTTTGAAGTACATCCAGAATGCTCCTTAGAAGCAAGGATCGTGAGGCTTTGACTCACATACTTTGGACATGTTATCCAGAGGGACCAGTCCCTGGAGAACGACATTGTGCTTGACAAAGCAGAGGGTCAGTGAAAAAGAAGCCTACCCTCAACAAGATGGATTGACACAGTGACTACAACAAGGGACTCAAATATAGCAACAATGGTAAGGATGGCACCAGACGATGCAGTGTGTCTTTCTGTTGTATATAGGTTCACTGTAGAATTGACTTGTAACCAATCATGTAATCCCACGTATGTTATCTACCTATCCCTGTAAATCCCTACTCTTAGATATCCCATCTTTAACTCCTTTGATCGTTTTTCAGCTAATATGGTTTTGTAACTTTTAGTTCATGCTCCATCTGCCCTCTGTGAATTTGGACCTCTTCTCAGTCCGGAGCTCTGGTGGCACAGTGCCTAAGGCATCTGACTACTAACCAGAAGGTCATCAATTCAAACCCAACAGTCACTCCATGGAAAGAAGATGGGGCAATCTACTCTCCAGAAACCCAATGGGGGCCACTATGAGTCAGAATCGACTCAATGGCAGTGAGTTTGTTTTTTTTTGTTTTTTTTTTTCTCAGTCTGGATGGTCTCTATTCCTCAATAAACCTCCTTTGCTTTTACTTTAAGCTGATTCAATGATACTGGTCTAGGACACTACTACACAGCACTGTAAATTTGTCTTATCCTGCTAGAAAAAAGATAGTCAACAAACTATTACCTCCTAATGTAAATCTCAAAGTCTCTTTACTAGAAGTGAGGAAACCACAACAACAACAACAAATACTCTGCCATGACTAGATTCTGACTCACCGCTCCAAAGCAGTAAATCTTTATGGCAGTAGATTGCCCCATATTCCTTTTGCAGAGCAGCTAGTGGATTTGAAATGCTAACCTTCTAGCTAGCAGTCAAATAACTTAGAATAACTTAGGCACTTGACACCAGAGCTCCACAAATGAGTGGAGGGCCAAATTATTAGTAGCCAGGCCAGAAGTAATCTGATTTCCGCTGATCTCAGTAAAGAGGTACATAAAGGGAAATACCATGTAACCAGAAGAATCAAATCCTAACTAGATTACTTCTGCTTACAGAAGACAAGATTATCTAGTTAGTGAGGTAAGCAAGACTTTCTCCTTGACAGTTATCAGCCAGGGAAAGAGAACTGAAAAGAAGAACAATATTCTCACTACTACAATTAAATTAGGAGCTCTGGTAGCATAGTGGCTAAAGCACTTGACTGCTAACCAGAAGGCTGGCGGTTCAAACCCACCAGCCACTCCTCGGAAGGAAGGTTGGGCAATCCTACTTCCATAGTGATACTGCCTCGGAAACCCAAGGAGGGGTCGCTATGAGTCGGGGCTGACTCGATGGCACATAACAACAACAACAATTAAATTAGTTAATTCATGAATTAAAAATTGAGACATGTGGTTGACAAAATAGTGTTTTGTTTTGGATGGACAACACCCCTAGACTTGTCTTTACCAAAACCTAAGCCTACATTTCCTGTAAACCAGGCAACTCTCATTGCCCTGAAAGCCCTTCCACCTTTGTTGACCAATAAAATCTTGACATTTCAATAGTAAATTTTATAAGCCAATTAGAAATAAGCTACTTTACTTCTGCATTTTTGTCCATAAAAAGCCAATCACTGATGATACTTGGCAGAGTACCTTTTCACATGTGGTTTGGTGCTATCCATTTCGCGAATCTTCTGTCCGATTAATTTAATAGATTAATAAATAGGTTAGTTTTATTATAGACTCATTTTCGTTTTAAAATGTAATGGGTTTAGAATAGGGCACCATCCAAAATTCTCAGTAAGGACCATAATTATCACAGAATCGACAGTATTTTAAGCCTATACTATATTCAACACAGCAGCACGTTTGAATTGGGTGCTCGGGTAACGTCTGTGGAGAGGTATTAAACACCTTGAGAGGATTGTGAGGCTGGCGCAGGACCAGGCTGTGTTTCCTTCTGTTGTACACTGGGTGGCTATGAGTCAGAGCCCACTCCACGGCACCTAACAACCACCACCATCACCACCCCGCATCAATGAGGTAGTCTCACTATCAGCCAGACCCTGTGGAGGTGCAAGCCAGACGCGGCATAGGACAAAGGCGAAGGCAGCCACGTACTTGGCTCTGGAAGTCCCTTCCCATAGCTCGGTCGGCTCCACGGACGCCCGCCTAAGGGCTGCGATCTCGGCTTCCAGGGTGTGAACCTCTGCCCATTTGGCCTCCATGCGGCAGTGCTGAACTCAACGGGGTCCACTTGGGTCCTGCTAGACTCGAGCCTTCTAGGCGCTCCAAGAGTCCCGCGCTCTGCCAGAGCAGATCATTTCACGATCTCGGCGGGGGGCGGGGGAAGCTTGCGCCCCAGAACATAAAAGGCTAAACTGACACAATATCCTGCGGTCGTTTACGTCCTCATGCACATTGCCTCAGCTGTTTACGAGAGGGCCCTACACTTTCAAGAGAATTGGTTTATTCCAACTCCAAAGCCAAGGGTGCCGCCGTTGACCCCTCTGTGGTGGCGCCTTCCAGGAACCCAGACGGTTACGTCACTGAACAGGAAAGTCTGGATCACGTGGGCGAGCATTCTCTACTTCATTCCTTCACTTCCGCCAACCAAGGCCCAGTGTATACGAACTCAAAGCGATGTCGTGCTTCAGTAGATATTAGGAAATTTCGGCTTGCAGTCTTTTGTGGACATTGAGAGGAAAGTGGTGGAGGCATCACGGTTGCCCCAAGGACGAGAAACGAAATAAAGAGCACTTGGGAACTGAGTGTGGAAACGGAACCTTAAAAAGCTGGTTTTGAGGTCTGGAGGAAAAAAGAGATAATGCGCCTCCTGGAACACATGACTAGGAGGTAGCGCTTTAAGCGGCGCTCGCTCTAAGAAAATGTCTGGTAAGTGTTTAGGGCATAGGAGGTGACAGGGCCTTTCGATCTAGCCTCACCCTTGACTTTAGGTCTTCTCAGAGTAAGACTGCTGGATCGGGTAAATTAGGGGTAGAGAGGCGGCTACCAGAAAGCAGCAGCCAGTAGCTTTGGACTTCTGGGTTTAGAGTCTCCTCCACTGGGAGAAGGCTGTCAGCTGCTGGGGAATGCGGGGTGCGAGCCCAATACATGACGGTTCTAAACGGATGATAGTATGATGGACCTCAAATCTCTGTACCTCTCTCTACAAAAGCTTTCCTGAGTCTCTTCTAATCCAACAAATTTCGGAAAGATTTATTTCATTTTGATGCGGTATAGTATGATGTTAAGAATGCTGGGTTCTGAGATTAGACCTGAATTACAGGCCTGGCTCCACCACTAATTTTTGTGTGGCATTGGGAAAGAGACTTACTCCTTCCGATCCTCAACTTGCTCATCTGAAAAATGTGAGGACTAGTGGCTAAGGCACTTGACTGCTAACCAGAAGGCTGGCGGTTCAGATCCACCAGCCGCTCCTCGGAAGGAAGATGGGGCAATCTACTTCCGTAGTAATACTGCCTCCGAAACCCGAGGAGGGGTCGCTATGAGTTGGGTCCGACTGGACGGCACATAACAACAACAATAGTAATAGTAAATTTCGGAAGGAAGGTTGGACCATCTACTTCCATAGTGAAACCGCCTCGGAAACCCAAGGAGGGGTCGCTGTGAGTCATGTCTGACCCATAACAACATAATATAACAACAATAGTAAATTTATGTGTGGATTAAATGAGAGGATGCATACACTGTACAGTGCTGGCACATAGTAAACAAGTTGTATTAAATGTAATTGTTCGTTGCTTTTTATACCTGGACATTACTTTGCAGACGCTTCTTTTGTGACTGGTATTGCTTTTGCACATTTGTTTGCTTCTCTGTGACTGAGGAGCTCCACTGCCATCTAGTCGATTTCAAGTGATAGCAGCCCTATACCACAGAGTAGAACTGCTCCAGAGAGTTGTCAAGGCTGTAAATCTTTAGGGAAGCTGACTGCCCCATCTTTCATCCCCCCCCCCCCCGGAGGAGCTGGTGGGTTCAAATTGCAAACTTTAGGTTGTTAGCCCAATGCGTCATCACCGTGCCAGAAGAGCTCCTAGGTCAAGTATGTTGTTGTTGTTATGTGCCTGTTGAGTCGGACCCAACTCATAGCGACCCTTCCTTGGGTTTCTGAAGCAGTATCACTATGGGAGTAGATTGCCCCATTTTCCTTCCGAGGAGTGGCTGGTGGGTTTAGCATATTACCTGCTCCATGCTATTTGTCATTGTTTGTTAAAGTGAATAAGTGAATGTAAGAATTAATAAAGGAAAATCCTTGAGAACATGAGTGAGTAAATGAGCATGGTGGAGTTTAATACTGTGGGAAAAACATCTGATCTTTGTAAGTATGTGTATTGATGTGCTCTTCCAAAATCCATTCATGAAGCAGAATCTCCAGGGATAAGATTTGGGAGCAGTAAAATAGGACATGAAACATGGGGCCAGGAGATGAATTTGGCACAAAAGTGTCAGTTGAAGGAGTTGCTCTTTTGTGAAATTAAGAACTGATGGGAAGAATTCTTTTTTTCTCTCTTTGCCTACAATAAAGTATTTTTCTCACTAGAGAACATGAATGCCAATAGAGAAATGAAGCGCCTTTATGTAGGTGGCCTTAGCCAGGCCATTTCTCAGGCTGACTTACAAAACCAGTTCAGCAGATTTGGAGAAGTTTCTGATGTGGAGATCATCACGCGGAGAGATGACCACGGTAAATTTATATCCCTTCATTGGGTTATTAAAGGCAGATTTAGAAAGGTTAAATATTACAAAATAAAGAAATCATAGAGATGTAAATTAGCTCTGAAAGTTATGTATGTTTCATTACAAAATATTCCCCCACTCCAGTCCTCACACCCACACCCCTATACCGGCTCCTGGAGGTATTACATATAACGTACAACTTGCCCAGAATGGCATTAATGAAGTCAGCAAGATTCTAAATTCTGAAGTATCTGATTTCTGAAACATAGCTTTGTTTTCAGAGGTAACTTTCTAATATTGACTGATTAATTATCCTTCTACATAGTCTAACATAAAGAATGTTGTTAAGTAACCGCTTGATATATTTTTCTTATTTATTTCCTTTCGGGTTTTTTTTTTTTTTTTTAAGTTATACTGTTTAATCTCCTTCAATCTGGAACATTTCTTTAGCATTTTTGACCTTGAATCTTTTTCTTTTTTTTTTAATTGTGATCTGGGTGAAAGTTTACAGAGAAAAATCATTTTCCATTCAACAATTCATACACACTTGTTTCATGACATTGAATTCAATCCTAGTAATGTATATCTCTCTTCTCACTTCCTTCCTGTGGTTACCTTTTCCCTGTGTCCTTCTTTCCTGTGCATTCCTGCCCTTTGAGCTGTCTCCCCATGCAAATGCTTATGATCTCCCATGGTTGACTGTTCTAAGGAATGTGCCCCCATGGCATAAATGTTCACTTTATATACCAGTCTGTTGTTTGGCTGAAAGTCATGAGAGCAAGTTTCATTCTAGGCCCAACAGTTGACTAGGGGGTCCATAGTCTTGGGCATTTCACCAGTCTGTCAGACCAGTAAGCTTGATCTTTTTTATATTTTGAGTTTTGATCCACGTTTCTATCCCACTCTGTCCCTATTTTGATCCCTTTCTGAGTGGTTGACAGTGGTAGCCAGGGACCATCTGGTTCTTCTGGTCTCAGGGTCATGTAGGCTGAAGCTCGCATGGTCTACTACTCCCTTGGACTAATTGTTGCCATGTGTCTTTAATTTTCTTCATTCTTCTTTGTTCCAGACAAGGAGAGACCAATTATTGCAACTTAGATGGCCTCTTGCAGGCTTTTTAAGACCCTAGTCACTACTCACCAAAGAAAGGTGTAGAACAATGTTTTTGTGTAGTATGTTATGGCTGTTGAGCTGGATGTCCCATTTGACCATGGTCCTGAGCATAAGGGCCCACTGACTCACTTCCTCATGGTGTTTGGCTGTGGCTAAGAAGTTATCATAACTTGGCCCCATTAGCTCTTTTATATATATGGACATTCTTATAGCACATACAGATATGTGTGGAGAAACATCGTCTGCCGTTAGATTACAGGGATTGCAATCAATGTCATGAAACAAATGTGTATGAACAGCTGTATGGCAAATGAATTTGCTTTGTAAATTTTCACCCAAATCACAATTAACAAAAAAAAAAAAAGAAATATCGTCTGCCAAACTTACATATGATAGTGCATGTATCCCTTTTTGCGTAGATATAAGTGATCATTTAATTTAGCCTTTTTGGAAAAAAACACTGTCCTTCTGGAGTATTTTGATAATCACACTTAGAAAAATGTGTCTTTATATCCAATGAAAATAACGATGATTTGCCTTTGAAACTGAAAATTTCTAAGAAATCATCGATTTTTACATTGTTCTATGGATCAGAGTTTAAATAATTTATACTTCTCTTTTTAGGAAACCCACAGAAAATCTTTGCATACATCAACATCAGAGTGGCAGAAGCAGACTTGAAAAAATGTAAGATTGTCATGTTTTCTATACTGTTTGCCACTTAATATAATTTGTGTAACTTGGAATAACTTTGGTTCTAAATCTGAATTTCAACAGTCACTTTTAAATCATTGAGAGAGCAAGCATTATCAAGAATATTCTGATATTCTACAATTCAGTAGGCTTAAATTCATCCCATTTGACTTCAGCAGACATAGGTATGTTGAGATAAGTGCAGTTGCTCAAAAACTAGTATTCTCAAGTACTTTGGACAAGGGACTAAACAGCTCCTCCCTAATATACTCATTCCTTGAGTAACTAATCATTGTCCTTAAATGCTTGTAGAGGGCTTTAGAATATGTCTTTTTAATACTGATTAACTCCTTGAAATTGTGAAGTATCTATTGATAAAGTTAGTAAAGCTTGCCATAAATAGTGGCTTGTAGTGAAGAAATAAATAATCCATACTGCTACCAATGCAGTAATGTATCCTAATTATTTTGAGGTTGAAAAGTCAAAGGACGCTGAAAACTTATGTAAAGAGGAAGTTATCATCAACCTTTGGTAATTTTATTTGCCAAAAGATTACTTTGTTCTGTTGCTCAGATGAGAAAATACTTATGACAAATACAAGATTGTGGTTAGAAACATATCATGTTGCTATATGACCTGTGGCAAGTTATTTAAATTTTCTATGACCAGTTTCCTCATCTGATGAATGACAGTAATGATAGTGCTTACCTCATAACGTCACCGTGAGAATTTTAATTGATGTATTTGAACTTACCATAGTATCTAGCACATAAAAATACTATCTCATAGGGGTTATTATTACAGAGTGTGATAACAGATATTCACAAAGTCAACCTATAGAGCCCAGCAATTCAGCCACAGTTCAGTCACTTGTAGTTAATTATGCAGTGGTCATTGATGTGAGGTGAATAATGAAAATTAGGGGCTACAGGATTTTATAGTGTTGCCTCATTTGCCCTAAAAAACAAGTAAAATTTATATTTCATGGGAAATGAAATATTAAGTAAATTTCAGTTATTCACTGGATTCCCAACATTTTAAATAAGTGACAAATATTGCTTCACAGTGTACAAATTTGTCTTATTCAGACTTTCCAGTAACACTAATATAGGAAGAGCAAGAACCCTGCTTCTTACTCTGCTGAGAATACATAAGGAATTTGTCCCTAATAGCTTATAAATGATAAAGATGAGATGTGAAATTATGTCTTCTTTCCCTAGGTCTCATTTTCTCTTCTCTGTTCTATTTCCTCTGTGTCCATTTGTCAAAAACAAGTCTTAGTTCTTAAATAGTTGTTGTTGTTGTTAGTTGCTGTCAAGTTGTCTCCAGCTCATACTGACCCTGTGCACAGCAGAACAAAATACTGCCCGGTCTTGTGACAACCTCACGATCCTTACTATACCTGAGCCCATCGTTGCACCCACTGTATCTATCTATCCATCTCGTTGAGTGCCTTCTCCTTCGTTGACCCTCCACATATGTATATACTAACACATATATATGTATATACACACACACACATTGAATTTCATCTTTTTAACACAGCCTGTTACAGTGATGTTGATATGCCGCCTCCTCTGTATCACTTGTTTAGTACTATTTCAGAAAGTGGTTGTGCAATTATATTTAGTCATTCCCAGATGGTGGACATTGAAATGTTTTCAGTTCTTCGTTATCCAGGGAATGGTCCATCCTGACAACATGACCAAAGTAGATGAGACAAAGTCTGGCCGTTCTCATTTCTAAGGAGCACCGTGGCTGTACTTTTTCCAGGACAGATTTGTTAGTTCTTTTAGCAGCCCAAAGTATGTTCAGCATTCTTCACCAATACCACAACTCAAAAGCATTAACTCTTCTTCGATCTTCCTTACTCATTGTCCAGCTCTCACATGCATATGAGGCAATTGAAAATACCATGGCTTGTGTCAGGCGCACCTTAGCCTTCAAGGACATATCTTCAGCACTTTGCAGAGATTTGTCCAAAGCATTTGCTGAAATATATTTGCATTGCCATGAACTTGAGTAAAAATTCCTTATTTTATAGGTATGTCAGTTTTAAATAAAACAAAGTGGAAAGGTGGAACATTGGAAATTCAGCAAGCAAAAGAAAGCTTCTTGCACAGGTAAGATTTGTTCAGCGTGTACTTAAACCCTATTTCTGTATATTGTAAATGGTTTTACATGTTGACTTTATTCATTGGAAATTAGTACATAATATGATATTACATTCTTAGCAAATTCAAACATTACGGTAAAGCTGAAATCAATCTTACTTCCAAGTCCTCCCACCCCATACCTCAGTAATAAGGATAATTCAGAAAGACAATAATTATATGTGTATGTATGTATGAGCTTTGGTGGCATAGTCCCTAAGGCATTTGACTACTAACCAGAAGTTTGGCAGTTCAAACCCACCAGCCACTCCTCGGAAGGAAGACTGAGCAGTCTACATCCGTAGAGATACTGCCTCAGAAACCCAAGGAGGGGTTGCTGAGTAGGGACCACATTGACAGCAGTGAGTTTTTTTAATGTATGCATGTATGTGTGTCTCGGAAGGAAGGTTGGGCAAGCTACTTCCGTAGTGATACTGCCTCAGCAACCCAAGGAGGGGTCGCTATGAATCGGGGCTGACTCGGCAGCACATAACAACAACAACATGTTTGTGTGTATATATTTTTGTGTTTATATACATATGTATACACACACACGTATATACTAACACATATATATGTATATACACACACACACAGATTGAACTTCATCTTTTTAACACAACCTGCTCCAGTGATGTTGATATGCCTCCTTTGTATCACTTGTTTAGTACTATTTCAGAAAGTGGTTGTGCAATTGTATTTAGTCATTCCCAGATGGTGGACATTTGAAATGTTTTCAGTTCTTCATTATCTGAGATAATGCTTCAGTATCCTTGAAGATGTCTTATGCATATATGCAAGTAGATCTCTGGAATTTTTGTCAAAAAATGGAATCACTGAGCCCTAGAGCTATGCACATACAAAATTTTAAGACACTACCAAAGTGCTTCTGTTGATTTTTAATATTAATACTAATATGATACAAAGATATAAAGATAATGTGAGATCTCAGTACAAGAAGCATAAGATTGGTTCATCAGGTGATTTAAGAACAAGACAGTGTAATAATAAACCAATCCTAAAGGGATTCCCAGGGAGAAAAGATTATTTGAGTTTAGGAGCTTTCAAACTGGGAAACACTGAAAGATGAAGGGACCAGGAGAATTGATAAAATTATTCTAAATTCTAGAAATGGTATAAGCAAAATAGAGTCTAAAATAAGCAGCCTACATGAGCTGTGTTACAGTAGACTGTTGAGGTGGAAAGATAGACATTTGGTTTTGTTCTTCAGCTGAGGACATTTTACTATCTTTGCTTAGGCTAACAATGTGTCTTTCATTCAACTGTATCTGATTGCCTGCTGTGTGCACCACTAAGCAAGGCAAGCGCACAGCCTTGGAGTATTGTAGATGTGCATATATGATACAATTTGATGATCATTATGAAAGGTGGAATACAAAAGAGACAAGCTAAAGGCAAAGTGGCCAGCTAGGGTTGGTTGGTATCATTTGTCCAGTCCTTAGTAAAGGAGAGGTATTTTGAATTGGACAATTGTGATTCCATTCTATCATTATGAGAGTGTTGTTAGGTGCTATCAAGTTAATTTCCATTCTCAGTGGCCCCATATGACAGAATAAAACTGCTCTATAGGGTTTTTTAATACTGTAATTTTTAGCATTACAAGGAGCAGATCACTAGGTCTTTTTCTCCCATGGAGCTTGAGTGGGTTTGAACCACAAACCTATCGAAAGCTTAAGCATTCCACCACCAGGACTCATTATTATAAGAGTAGAAATAATCATTTGTTGAAAGTTGGTAAACTGGACTCCAAAGGCACCTCTTCCTCATAACAATCAGTGAAGACAAGATAGAAAAATGCCAAGTATCCAAGTTGAAAGGGGAAAATCAAGAGACCTTTTTATCTGTGGTCTCAATCTTCCCCTGGAGGGGAACTGGGACATCTGCTGGGAGAAGGACATGGGATATGAGAGGGAACATGACGGAATAGGGAGACTATCTATAGTGGGTTGGGGGAAGGAACTCCAAGCACTATTGAAATACCTCTGATAGCAGATTTCATACTCTACAGATCTTCTCAGTGGTCTATAAAGAGAGACTGCTTAGTTAAATTAAAATAGATTTTTATAACAGCACCACCACTCATCTGTCAGGTTGTCATACTTTGGTGGTTTGTGGGCTGCTGTGATGCTAGAAGCTATGCCACCAGTATTTCAAATACTAGTAGGGTCAGGCATGGGAGACAGGTTTGAGCAGAGTGTTCAGGCTAAGACAGACTAGGAAGCAGAACCTCGCAATCCACTTCCAAAAAAATTGGCCAGTGAAAACCTTACGAATAGCAGTGAAGCATCATTTGCTATAATGTGGAAAGATGAGCTGTTTGGGTTGGAAAGCACTCAGAATGTAACTGGGGAAGAGCTGCCTCCTCAAAATAGAATTTTCTTAATGACATGGATGGAATAAAGCTTTGGAGACCTTCATTTCCTGATGTGGCATGATTCAAAATGAGAAGAAACAACTGTGAACATCCACTAAGAATCAGAATGTGGCGTATACAGAGTATGGATGTAGGAAAATTGGAAGTTGTCAGAAATGAAATGGAACACATAATCCTAGGCATTTGTGAGCTGAAATGTATTGGCCATTTTTATTCAGACAGTCCTGTTGTCTACTGCCAGGAATTGCAAATTGAAGAGAAATGGTGTTGCATTCATCATGAAAAGTAACATATTAAGCTCTATCTTGCAGTGCTTGACAATGCTGTCAGTGATATGAAAATAGCTATATAGGAGCTCTGGTAGCATAGTCCCTAAGGCACTTGATTGCTAACTAGAAGGCTGAGGGTTCAAACCCACCAGCCACTCCTCAAAAGGAAGGTTGGGCAATCTACTTCCATAGGGATACTGCCTTGGAAACCCAAGGAGGGGTCGCTGTGAGTCGGAGCTGACTCGGCAGGACATAACAACAACAACATATGGCTACAAGGAAGACCAATTAATACAAATAATAATCAAATTTATGTGCCAGTCACTGATGCCAAAGAGGAAGAATTTGAAGATTTTTACCAACTTTTTCAGTCTGAAATTAAACATACAATCAAGATGCATTGATAATTAACTGGCAATTGCAACGCAAAAGATACAAAGTAAGTGGCAGTGTCCTTAGTGATAGAAAATACATTGGAGATCATATGAGAATTTTGGAAGACTTATTCATACCTTTTTTCCACAACGTAAGTACAACTATACACATGGACCTCACCTAATGAATCAAATCAGGCATCAAATTGAGTACATACGTGGAAAGAGATTATGGAGAAGCTCAATACCAACAGTTAGAACAAGATCAGGAGCAGATTGCAGAAGAGACCATGAATTGCTCATATGGAAGTTCAAGTTGAAGCTGCAGAAAATTAAGATAAGTCCATAAGAACCATCCCACCTGAATTTAGAGACCATCTGAAAAATAGATTTGATACATTGAAAACCAGTGACCAAAGACTACGCAAGTTGTGGGATGACATCAAGGACATCGTACATGAAGAAATCAAAAGGTCATTAAAAAGAAAGGAACGACCAAAATAGATGTCAGAAGAGACTCTGAAACGTGCTCTTGAATGGAGAGTACATAAAGCGAATGGAAGACATGATGAAGTAAAACAGGTGAACAGAGATTTTGAAGGGCAACTTGAGAAGACAAAATACTATAATGATATATGCAAAGACCCAGAAATAGAAAACTAAAGGGAAGAACATGCTTGACATTACTCAAGTTGAAAGAACTGAGAGAAAAAATTCAAACCTCGAGTTCTGATATTAAGGATTCTGTGGGAAAAATTTTGAATGGTGCAGGAAGCATCAGGAAGGGATGCACAGAGTCACTATAACAAAAAATATTGGTCAGTGTTCAACCATTTCTGGAGGTAGCATATGACTAAGAACTGATGGTATTGAATGAAGAAGTCCAAGTTGCACTGCAAGCAGTGGTGAAAAACAAGCCTCCAGGAATTGACAGAATACCAGTTAAGATATTTCAGCAGGTGTTCGCAAGATTGTAAGCAGTCACTCACCTATGACAAGAAATGTGAAAAACAACTACCTGGCCAACCAACACAAAGAAGTCTATGTTTATGCCCATTCCAAAGAAAGGTGATCCAACACAATGCAGAAATTATCAAATATCATTAATATCACACGCAAGTAAAATTTTATAGAAGATAATTTAAAATCATTTGTAGCAATACATCACCAGGGAACTACCAGAAATTCAAACGAGATTCAGAATAGGACATGGAACAAGGGATAACATTTTGGCTAGAAGCAGAGAACACCAGAAAGATATTTACCATGTTTTATTGACTATGCAAAAACATTTGCTTGTATGGATCATAACAAATTATGGAAAACATTGGAGACGATGGGAATTCCACACTTAATTGGGCTCATATGGAACCTGTACTACCAAAAGGCAGTCATTCATATAGAACAAAGGAATACAGTGTGATTTAAAATCAAGAAAGTTGTGTGTCAGAGTTGTACCCTTTCACCATAATTATGCAATCTTTATGCTGAGAATATAATTTCAGTAGTTGGACTATATGAAGAACACGGCAGCAGGGTTGAAGGAAGACTCATTAACAATCTGCAGTATACAGGTGGCACGAACTTGTTTGTTGAAAACAAAGAGGACTTGAAGTACTACTGATGAAGATCAATGACTAATGTCTTCAGTATTCCATTTAAGTACACATTCCATTCAGTACACTTCCATTTAAACAAGACAAAAATCCCCATAACTGGACGAATAAGCAACATCAAGATAAAAGGAGAAATATTGAAGTTGTCTAGGATTTTCTTCCTCTTGGATTCACAAACAACACCCATGGAAACAGCAGTTAAGAAATCAACCACAGGAAAACTAGGCAAGATGGCGGACTAGGCACAAGGACTGCACAGACGCTTTTCAACAAAGAAAAGGAAACCAATTAACACAGACACAGAAGATAATCTTGG